CCGAAGATAGCTATACAGTCGAAACTAAATAATAATAAAGTTTCAAGAGTTGAAACAAGAGTATTTTATCATCTCAAGAATTCGTAATAGACACCATATTGTTGGTTTATTGTAAAAAGACACTAAGTACATTTTTGATGGAGCTTAGCTTTTTAGTACTTTTTTAAGAATTTCAACATTGTTTATACAATTTAACACTAAATGCACAATGTTCTGATTTCACTGTGAGAAAATTCCTTAAAGTAATATATAATTTAAGTTTGTGCAATGTTACATAACAATTTTATAATATAGATCCATGATATATTCATGAATCATAGTAGAAGATGGGTGAACGTTAAAATCAGAGAAATATACAAATATATATGTACTGGTTACTTTCCTTACTATAAGTATCTACCATTATAATTTATATAAATTCTAATGATGTGGGCAAGTTTTAATTGTGGCGTAAGTACAATAATTATTCAGCAAGGCATAAGTAACGATGATAGACACTTTAAGTGAAATTTTCAACATTAATGTAAGCCAGTGTTTATTCTGATTCTGGATATTTGCAAATGTGATGTAATGTCAGTAAATGTGATCATTTCTGGATTTTTTTTTTTTTTTAATCAACTGTAGAGGAAAAACTGACAACACTTATTGCATTTGTAATAAACATCCAGGTTTTTTTTAACTTCTACAAAAAAGTGATAAGAAATCATCCCTGAAACAAACATCTAGCCTTACTCCAATAAAAAAATCAACTGCCAATCGACTAATGCAAAATGATATTACTCAAGCATTGTCTTCCCATGTGTTCTAGTTGCAAACATCTTAGCATTATCTACTGGGCATATAAGAATTATTAATCATTAATGGGTCGAATACTGCTTTTTACTGGTACATTTAACTTACAGTGATTCAGTCGAAATCAAATATGTTATTTAGCCCTATCTCTAAAATGCTAAAAAAATCCAAGAAAATTGTAAACAAAGCTAATAATAAAAATAAATAAATTACTGATACATTAACATAAACAATTTGTTTATCATAGTTCAGATCCAACAGAAATAATGATCCATCTGAAACCCACAATTAATCACGGATGACAAGATGTCATTGAATTAGCAGCTGTTACAACTTGGTGAAGGTTAACTAAGTTGGTACAAGACCAAAGAGGTACAGGAGACTCTTACTTAAAGGTACAATAACAACTATTTTATTTATAACTATGGTTAACCACTAACTAACTACACCTTAAATAACAATGATATAAAGATATGGTATAAGACTTGTTACGAAAGATTTTTTGTCAATAATGGACAAGTTCCTAAACTCAGTGCTGATTCCATCGAAGGAATCCACCAATTGGTGAACAGTGATTTATTCGAGGCACGTGCTGGATTACAGTAGAAATGTAATACTACTGAAAAGTAAAAAAAAATTCCGAAAAATATAAAACATGCAAGGAAATATTTACTTACTGAAATATTGAATTTCTAAACAAAATTAAACATAGATAAGAAGTAAATTGAATATAAATATGTAAACGTCGGTGATAAATATTCAGGACGCAGTCATTATAAAGTTTTTATCAATGCCAACGTTTCAAGCTAAACATATGGGCCATCATCAGGGCGTGGATCGAGCACTGAAGGTATTCAACTATTTTGGCGAGTACGAGTAAAGAGCATTAGAGTTCTATACTTCATTTACGTGATAGAAATAAATTAAATCTTTCAGTTACTTGAATACCTTCACTGCTCGAACCACGCCCCGATGATGACCCACATGTTTGGTTTGAAACATCGGCACTAATAAAAACTTTATAATGACTGCGTCCTGAATATTTATCACCCATGATATGTGGAACAGTCGACTAACTTCCTTCAATTATCTATAAATATGTAAAGTCATTTGAGAAATAAAAACACTGAGGTTAAAATAAGGTTATGGATTTGGGTTGGAAAATATGGTTAAGGGATGGGTCGGATTGTATGTGTCAGGTACTTTGTATCTGATACTAAAAAGTATCTGATACAACTAGTAGATACAACCCAAAAGTATCTGATACAACTAGTAGATACAACCCAAAAGTATCTGATGCAACTAGTAGATACAACCCAAAAGTATGATACAGATGTTCACACGGATACAAATGGTTGTCCAGACTTGCTAGATTGATATAAGAGGAAAGTTTTATATGTTTAGTTATATTTTTAGCTGTACACATTTTTTTATTAAAATTATCTATTCATTTATTTAATTTAGTTTATATATATTACCTTTCAAATCGCTCCTTTCAAGTCCGCTGCGGCACTGAACTCTCCAAACATTATCCAATTGAGGCTGGTGTTCCACAAGGCAGTGTCTTGGGCCCAGTTCTCTATATCCTTTTCACCGCTGACATCCCTTCAAGTCCTGATACCTTCCTAGCAACATTTGCTGATGATACTGCCATCCCATCCTCCCACTCGGATCCTCTAATAGCGTCCCAGAACCTGCAAAGACACCTTTCCTTCATTGAGCTGTGGTGCAACAACTGGCGCATCAAAATTAATGAATCAAAATGCAAGTATGTAACTTTCACTCTTCGACGCAGATCCTGTCCGCCAATCCTTTTTAATTCAATTCCTCTTCCCTACTCAGACACAGTCCGATACCTTGGCTTCCTTCTGGACAAAAGACTGACTTGGAACCCACATACGAGACTTAAAATACAAGAGCTTAACCGACGATTTGGTCAGCTATATAGACTACTAAACAGAAGATCTCATCTCTCAACAGAAAACAAATTATTAATCTACAAGACCATACTGAAACCTATCTGGACCTACGGACTTGAACTGTGGGGGACAACTAAATCATCGAATATCAAACGCATCCAATCCTTCCAGTCCAAAGTCCTTCGAACAATAGTCAATGCTCCATATTATGTCACGAACAAGACCCTACACCATGACCTTAACATCCCATATGTCCATGACATCATCCCATCCAGATTCTCAAACTTTCACCAGAACCTCATTCATCATCCCAATCCTCTAGCACAATCCCTATCCAGCTCCGAGCATCCATACCATCCCCCTCGAAGGTTGAAACGGCAGTGGCCTCGAGATCTTTTGTAAATATGCCTTTGGAGTCCTGGCAATGGCCAGCTTCTCCACTCATGTCCTGAGCCTCTGTGGCTGTACTGCCCTCTTTCAGTCTCCACTGGCTTCTAATACTAGTGATGCGACTGGAAAAGTGGCACTGGGATCTTCCGGAGTCTTGCTTTGCCTTCTACGTGTGGAGGTAAAAGCCTGGCTCGGAGATTCTTGGGCAAATGTATATATTGTATATAGTTATGATTGTGTTTAGAAGTTTTTATTTTATTTTATTTTATTTTTTATTTTTTTTATTATTTTTTTTATTTATTTACCTTCTTCATCAGTATTATTTATTTACTTCTTATATTTATATTTATTTTTTTATTATTTGTATATATTGCATGAATGAGAACTTTTAGCCCTAATGCTTATAGCCCTCCAGCAGTGGCTGATTGTATTATTATTCAATAAATAGATTTAAAAAAAAAAAAAAGTTTATACATATATATTCACACTTATTTATTTTTTTATGTAATCTCAATTGGTATAAAAATTCATTTGTTTTAGTTCAGATTTTATTACTTATTTGTACTTAATACTTATTAATAAATTGTAATTACTATTTTATACTTTCATTATACTATTCAACACTTCAATTTATTAAATATATTTTTACATCTACTATTTTACTATAGTTTTGTCATATTTATTTTTAATTTAAATCTATAATGTTCATTCATAATAAAATTTGTAGAAAATATTCATTCCCAAACTTATTAGTACATCCGAAAACGTTATTTTACTTCTAAACCAATTATGTAGCTTTAATTTAAATTGAAAAAATTCAAATTTAATATTGATTATTTTGGTGATTATTTAGAGTATCAGAGCACTATAATTCATTTCCGTGGTAAGAGTAAATTAAAACTTTCAGTTGATTGTTTTAATAAAATTGAAAATGAGGTAAGGAATCCTTATATATATATAAAAGGATATATGTATATATATATATATATATATATATATATATATATATATATATATATATATATATACATATATATTTTTAAATATAATAATTGTAATGACTATATAGTTATGTCAGGTACTATGCAGATATGTACACAATTTTTAAACAAATATAAGTGTACAAATATATATATATATATATATACATATACACATACATATACACATATACATACACATACATATTTAATATGTTTTAGTAGGCATCAGATAGGTATTAAATATATTTATTATACAGTTGGATAGTCGAATTAATATATCCGATACAATTATTGGAGTTCAAGTCCATGCCCCAGTATGCATCCCGCTCAGGTATCTTCCGAAAAATATCCGATACAAGTATCAGATAAAAATGTCAGATACAAGTATCAGATAAAAATATCCGATACAAGTATCAGATAAAAATGTCAGATACAAGTATCAGATAAAAATATCCGACACAAGTAACAGATAAAAATAACCGATACGAGTAACAGATAAAAATATCCGATACAAGTATCAGATAAAAAGTAATAGGAAGGAATTATCTACAAACTACTGACCCATTTGAATCAGAAACAAAAACTATCAGATAAAAGTTGTAAAATTTGTCTCTAGATCCAAAAATTCTGGTATCAACCCGTCCCTATATACAGCGGATCTTTCGATGCCAATAGCCGATGGAACGTCTGGGCCATTGATGATTCAATCCATCAGTTATCATTAATAAGAATCGGAAATCTATCGATGGATTAGCACTGAACTTAGGAACCTGTCCTTCCTATTACATTCCTACATTAAAATCTGCTGGTTTTTCTTTTGTAAACAATACTTCCTGAAATCCTTCAAAAATAATTATTAATTAAACATAAACAGTTATAACACTAAAATAAAATTTATTTCTTTTTCAAATTTGCCTTATTTTTCACGAAAAGGATTTGAAAATAATTTATGAAACAATGTACTCATTTAAACAAATTTATTTAGATGCTATCAGAATTACAGAATCAGAATACTGTAACTGAGATGATGGAATCCAATTTAATTTTTTTAAATCCAGTTTGTGATCAAATGCGGATATCATATTATTATTGGATCAAAAACAAGACGCCACAATCCAGAACATGATATCTGAAATAAAAGGATATTCATAAGGTTATCATGTATTGAGTACCACATAATTTCTAAGCTTCAACTAATTAGATTAGATATTATATATATATATATATATATATATATATATATATATATATATATATATATATATATATATATATATATATACATATATATTCATAATATATTCATAAGGTTATCATGTATTGAGTACCACATAATTTCTAAGCTTCAACTAATTAGATTTCATTGATATATATATATATATATATATATATATATATATATATATATATATATATATATATATACATATATATATATATACACTATTTAAGTTATCATTCAACTTCCAACTTCTGAAGTAAATTAAATGTAATTAAAGGAAACATGCAGGATCTCTTCATCACCGTTTGGACAGATGGAGTTTTACCGGAGCCATGGACCAAGACACTCATCTGTCCTATATTAAAAAAGGGCGATAGACTAAAGTGCTCCAACTACAAAGGGATCTACCTCCTGTCTGTCGGTCCTGTACAAAGTCCTGTCAAACATCCTCTTCAAGTGTTTGCTTCTCCATGCGGAGATGGTGCTCCAACTATACCATTGCGGATTCAGAAAAGGTAGGTCCACGACCGATCAGATATTTTGCCTCAGGACGATTCTCGAGCGAGGAAGAGAATTCAAGACTAAACCTCACCACCTGTTCATCGATTTCAGAGCAGCTTATGAGAGCGTGAATAGAGAAAAATTGTAAGAGGCTCTAAAGCATTTTAAGATCCCCAACAAGCTCATAAGCCTCGTGAGCCATATAATGAACAACTTAGCGTAGGATTATAGCAGCAAAGCGGTGCTATTTTTCTATGGCAAGCCAGTTCCGGAGAAGAGCTCTTTCCAGAAAATATAAGCTTTGTCTTTATAAGACGATAGTGCGTCCAGTTTTGCTGTATGGTTGTGAGACTTGGACTACCTTGGCTTGTGAACAGGAACTCCTAGTCTTAGAAAGAAGAATTCTCAGACGCATATATGGTGGTGTTCTTATCGGAGGAGAGTGAAAAAGGAGGAAAAAACAAGAGCTGTAACCATTCGAGTAATGAAAATTGCAAGACTGAGATGGGCAGAACACGTTGTTAGGATGGGCCGTGAGGATCCACCAAGACTATTATTGATGGAACCACTCCATGGCACCAGGAGAAGAGAAATACCAAAAAGGCGATGGGCTGATGGAGTTGCTGCAGATGCAACTAATATGCTGGATCTTAGGAATTGGATGGCGGCTGCAGGGAACCGAGGCAATTTGCGAAAGCTGCTGGAGGAGGGCCGGATTCGACACCGGATTGTAGAGCAACACTAATAATAATAATAATAATAATAAAGGAAACATTTTGTCAATCAATTGCAATTAAAGGCGTTGCAAATAATGCTCCCAAGGAAGCAAGATGGAAGGCGAAAATGTGACAGATAATTTTAAAGAATGCAGATATTGTGAACTGCATAAAATCATGCAGATTAAAATGGACTGGACGCATTATACAGATAAATGAAGATAGAGTACAGCGTAAGATACTGGAGGTCGTGATTGATGCCAAGAGAAGAAGAGGAATACCGCGTAGCCGTTAGAAGAATGAAGTAGGGAAAGATGCTGTAGTACTAGGAATCAGGAATTGGAGAGGTTCGTCGCCTCCTTTTGGAGAAAATATTATTAAGGCGATCTTAACTGGGCAAAAGAGATCATCATTTTCAGTGAACCCGAGAAATACTGAAAAAAATCTAATAATTTAAAACAGGAACACAGTGAGTCTTTAACAATCATATCTGCTGGAGAGGCCAAAGAATCATCACAAAACATAGAAAAGAAGAAATTCAAGCGAACTCCTATATTTCTAAAAGAAGTACAAAATATTTAAGCATTAATTTAATTTTTTAAAAAAGAAACAGTTCCTAGTTATTTCAGCATTAGATCAAAAGCTAGAAATGCGATAGTTTATCCAATCACGCCAGAATCATATAGTCGACAGCAGTCTGATATTTGAAAAAAAAAGGTGGACGCCGACTTTCATACTAATCAACTATTACTAGAAAGAAAGCAATCAATGTGCATAAATTAACTGTAAAAGAAGAATTTAATACATTATGCTACGAAGTTACAAACATTAGTAATACAATTCATGCGATTAAATCAACACTCCAAATGTTTTTATTTGACTAAAAATTAATTTAACGAAAGGAATATTCGACACTAACTATATAATTAATTATACTATGATAAAAATGAAAAACTTATGAAAAAGAAAGGAATACAAAGCGTTAAAGATGCCTAGGCAATGTTCTTACCTACCGAAACGTATTTCATTCACCAAATGCGTTGTAAACGTCGTGATGAAGCCTATGAAAGGTTAACGTGTTTCAAAATAAGAAACGCAGCAGCAAAATGCGTTAATTGTTAAGGGACGCACCTTGTCAACTACAGAGTATGCCAAGATCTTCAAGAACCTGTCGGCTCAGCATCATAGTAATCGGTTATAGCTGAACCTCCAGATCTAGAACAGTTTTCAGTTTTGCCGAACTGCCTTCATCAGCAACTGTCTCCGGAACCTATTGTTGCAAACTCAAGAACGGAGCGCTGTGAATAACTTCTTCAAAGCGTCGAAACTCTTCCAGAGCTTCTAACTCTAAGGAGTTTCAGTAATCAGCTGATACTAACAACTGGAATTAAACCTTTTCAACATTTATATTTATTAAATGATTTAAATATACTAATTCAGCCTCTTTTCAAACTGATTAATCAAATAACACTAAAGAGAAACGTTACTCGTTGCTTATGGCGATTAGGTCTCACACCGGTTACTATTTCGATATAAAACGAAACTCGAAATTTACTTTTATCAGAAATATATCGATATTAAACTTCTGACGGAACAAGTCTAATGTACAAAACAAACATACTATACCAAACTTTTATACAGGACAGAACTTCCAGATAATGCTGATAAACTTAAATAAATAAAATATTCTTTAAAACATTATCTCTTGTATGCAGACTCGACAGCTCAGATTCAAACAGCAGGTATTCACTTACAGTTTCTATTTAATGTCCACTTAAGTTTACTATTACCGAACGAATGTTCATTGATCTATTTAAATTATTTGGTAAAACATTTAAAACAGAAGAGAATTGAAATGCCAAACGCACATACTGTAGCACACGCCTGTACACACAAAGAATGAGAAAACTTAGTTATGCTGTCCATCTGATTTTGTTAAACATCTTTTAACTCGACAAAACGACTTAAGTACCTGATTCCCAATATAAAAATCCTTACACATCTTTTTACCCTTGATGATTTGAATGTTCTGTTGAAGATTCTACCGATCACTATTACTGATGAAACAGACCTTAGTTATGAACATTTACTATTGAACCTGATGTTGATTGTGAAAACTTTCCTATAAAAAAAAAAGAAAAAAAAAAGAAGAACATCTCTGATTCGCGTTATCATTCCATCGATGGTTGTAAGAACTCGCTAGATACCATTTATGGATCCTTCGATGAGTTTAGGAACTTGTCCATTCTTAGTGTTTCTCAGATATTTCTACATTAAAATTTCAGCATTTTTTTTTAAATACCTTCTGGGATCCTTTTCTATAATTAATATACTAACATGAACAGCCGTAACACTAAATATGAACTTTTTTTTTTCTTATTTAGCATCGTTTCACACAATAAAGATTCGAGAATATTTTAAGTTGCAAACGATGTACTAATTTAGATAATAAATTTTTAATTTAAAATATCATCATAATTAAAAATTGATACTATACTTGGAATGACCCACCCATCCATTTTCATTTCTTATCATCCAGCTTGCGGTAAAATGTGGAAATCATATTATTAAGAATAGGGACCGCATGAATAAGACTTGTATGATCTGTAATAAAAACATGGCAATTAGATCATGAATTATTGGATAATTGGTAAGTTATCACTAATTAGATTTTATTGATTCTTATACAAAATTTCAATATTCAACTAATGAATTAAATTAAATATTGTCAGTTTATTGCAAAAAAAAGCAAATAAGTGACGTTTCATAACCTCAAATAATTAAGAACTTTGAACATATTTTCCTGTATCAAATCAGAAAAATGTGCGCTTATTATAATTATACTTTATGTATAAAAGGGTTTTTCATTTGCATGCCCTTAGAGTCAATTGGCGGGTCCAGGAATGTTCTGAGTGGGGGCGCACTTGGGAATACGTGAATTCCATACACCGATGGTGTATATATGTATATATATATATATATGTGTGTGTGTTGGAATATTATGACTGAACTGAGTTTTTCCAGAAAGTTAGTGAGGTTGACGAAGGCCAAAGGTTGACGTAAAAATGACCACAAATGCAGAGAACTAATACACGGTGAAGTATATGAAGCTTTTGAAGTTCGAAGAGATTTGAGGCAGGGAGATGGATTCACGCCAATACTGTTTAACTTAGCCCTTGAGAAAGTAATGAAAACAACATTACGCGAAGATGAAGGGATGCACGTCAGAATGAAACATAAAATCCTAGCATATGCCGATAGACCAGCGAATAACAAGTGCGAACAGAGCTATATTCTTTCTTTCAAGGGTACTGAAATCCAGAAAAATCTCCAAAAAACTCAAACTGTGTACAACAACGTGATAAAACCAGCTCTGCTGTACGGTTGTGAAACGTGGACTCTAACCAGCACCCTAGAAGACAGAATTGAGAGATTCGGAAGAAAAGTCCTCCGTACAATAACAGGACCTATCTGGGATCAGAATCTTAAAACATGGAGAAGGAACAATAAAGAACTGCTAAAAAAAAAAATCAGTCAATATCTTATGATATGAAGGCAATGAGGTTAAGATGAGCGGGACACGTAGCTCGAAGCAATCTATCAGGACGCATTTACATAACAATGAATATCAGAATACTAGGCAAGATACCACAAACCTGATGGATAGATAGGATAAACAAAGATACGGCTGAGCTTCATGCCGCCAACTGGAAAGCAGTAGCTCAAGATAGGCAGAAGTGGAGAAGTCTGGTTCAGGCGGCCAAAGATCTACAAGGTCTGTAGAGCCAACTCCCTTTAGCTACGATAATCAGCTATTTCACCTTTAAATAATGGTGAGTTAGTGTAAATATTCAATTGCTTGTCTAAGACAAATGGGATATTAAGGTCATGTTGTAGGGTTTTGTTTAGATTGAAAGGATTCAATGCGTTTGATGTTAGAAAATTTTGTTATCCCCCACAGTTCAAGTACGTATGTCCACATAGGTTTCAGGATTGTCTTTTAGATAAGTAATTTCTTTTCAATTGAAAGTTTAGATTTTCTATCCAATAGTCTGTATAGTTGGCCGTATCGTCGGTTCAGTTCTTGTCTTTTGAGTCTACTATGTGGGTTCCATGTTGGTCTTCGGTCTAAAAGAGAGCCAAGATATCGGACTGTATCTGAGAGAGGAAGCTGGATGGAATTAAATTGTTCTGGTGGACAGAAGTAGTACTATTATTAAAGATATTATGAAATTCCCTACGAACATATGTTAAAACCAAATAAGAAATATTAATTTTTAATTCAGAAAAGATCTCACCTTCCTTTAACAGTACAACATTTTAAATCGTTTTCACAGCAACTGTCAGAATAAGGACAGCAGCTTTCATGAGTACAATGTCTATATATAGGGCCACGTAATATTAAATCATTTCTTTTCATAGCTGAAAACAATAAAACAAGTTTAACATTAACCATTGATTATATAATAAAAAATTCATTATGTAAATAGAACGCTCTTCATAACCCGATTGCATGGCCTTAAATTTAAAATGATATAAAAATTGCACTAGGTAACGGAAATATATGTTAAACATAAACACATTACAAACAAAAACATTATTTTTGAAAATCAAATAATGTCGTCTCTAGCTAATAGCCCTAGAACCCGTGGCAAAAATGAGGTTTGTTCATAACAATTGACCATATCCACAGTCCCGATGAGAAAAATGCACGTTTGCCAGCATATAACCGCTGGAATAAAAAATGGCGACCAGGTGAAGATTTAAATAGACCATATATTTATATTAAACGTATATATATAAATATATATATATATATATATATATATATATAGAGGGCTTATAGATATATAAAGCTACCACCCCTTTCAATTTATAGTATTTACAGTCTTAATACATGAAATAATAGTCTGTTACCCCATACCCGTGTGTTTCAGGTCGAAAAATTGAATTTACGATTCAAAGTTTACTTTTTTTTTCTATTTTCCGCTTATATCAAAAAAACTATGCATTCTTTCTATAATAATGTAAATGTGAAATAGTGAATAAGCTATATGATAGCAAAACGGGGTTCTGAATGGGCGGAAAATGCGAAACTGTCTTTACAGCAAATTTGCAGACGGGATAAAAAACACTTTATTAATGAATGGCAGGATAGGTTTGCCTGGGAGTCTAGTTCGAAAGGTAAAAATCATTTCCTTATCCAACGTCTCTCTACACCCAGGGTTCTCCAACACTTGTGTTAAGTTAAGCAGAAAAGAAATAGTATTACAAGATTAAGAATTAACCATAGTCGAACAAATCGCGGCTTGACATTAAAGTTGAAAACAATTATTAATGTTCGACATGTAACTCCATCGAGAACACATTGCACATTATTTTAAAATGCAATAAATATGATAAACTCCCTCATACAAAACAATAGAGCTTTCCTCCAAGGGCTGGCTGATCTGGATAAGGATACCATTAAGGCATTGTGCAAATTTATTGAAGAATCCAAAACAGATTTTTAAAAATAAATAAATAAATAATAATAATATACACCTATATCTCTATTATATTTTAATATAACAATAGGGGCAGTATAGGACTGCAATGGGAGTCTTGGGCCGACAAAAAAATAAAGCTGAAAAATTTTGCAATAAAAATAGTTACATTAGTTTTTTCGCTATATGATATAGTTTCCGTGATATCCGTCCGCGTAATTCACTAATTACAAAAAAAAAAATTTGCATCGCATTTTTATCATTTTTTGACACGCTCTTTTCATTTTATAAAAAAGTCATGAGGAAGTGAGTTGTTTAATATTAAATTTTCTTTAAGAATATATGTTCTTTACTATATTATTTTCAACTATTCAAAAGCGAGAGCAATTAAAACGTAATGATTAAATTCCGGGACTGAACAGAAAAACTTACTTTTCGTTATTTTCAAAATGATGTAGAGATGGATATAATATGAGAAGGAGTTTGTCGGGGGTGCGGTCAGATAAATACTAAATTAAAATATAGTAATTATTTTATTTTAATTTTGCCGACGTTTCGACCCACTTTGCAGGTCGTCTTCAGGGCGTAGGATGTAGCACTGCGGGAGGCACTGTAACCAGTGTTTCAACTGCGTTTCAATAACGTTATTTTCGTTATCACACAGCCATTAATCTGTATATAAGACATTATATATATATATGGGGCTGGGGTAGCCGTACGGGCTATGCCGCTTGCAATAGGTTAAGCAACGTCGAGCGTGGCTTTTACTTGGATGGGTGACCTCCCACCAGGGAAAGCCATGCTGCCCTAGTCTCTGCCCCCTTTCCCAGGGTATGTGAGGACCGACAGACTACTGGAGGCAACTCACACCGACCGGGCGTAGGACTGATGAACCTACCCTGTGTAATTTAATCGGGAATCGGGATGTGGCTTACCAGGATGTTAGTAGCCTCCCTGAGGTTCGGTCCATGAAAGGTCTGTTTCGAGGAAAGAAATATAGGTCCTTGTGCGCCTACTGACTCCGATGAGCCATAATCCATGGATCTAGGCCGATTTGTCACTGTCCTTGAACCAGAGTGAGTCGGTGGGAAGGACATTGCCAGATTGGCCCCAAAGGGATCGGAGCTACGGATGACCTGCCGCTGCGCCATGGAGACCATGGTTCGTAGCAACTTGAGGTTGGGTGACCCCCTCCAGGCCATCTGAGCTCCGCAAGCAACGTACATCTGTAAGGAGACCACATCTCGCTTCCACAGATCTTCATGGTCTGTATTGCCAACCGAAAAAAATATATATGTGTGTATTATATAAGCCAATGTATACACATGAAAGTTGTCTTATATACAGATTAAGAACTGTGTAATAACGAAAATTGCAAAAAGTAAGTTTTTCTGTATAATTTCGAAATTTAATCATTAAGTTATAATTGCTCTAGCCTTTGAATGGTTGAAGATAAGATAGTAATGTAATATATATCCCAGTTGTAATGTTTTCCATTTTGAGACACCTCAATATGACTTCGACACTAGTACACGAAGCAATTCTTGTAATATGTATTGAGAAACGCATTACTAGGTGTTCGGAATATGGAGACCGTCCTGTATTACTTTGTTGCAACGTATAGAAAATTATACTTAATGTTTTCATTTCTTCATTCAGCTTGTGCGTTGGATTGGCTGTTACGAAAATTAACACACCTAAACAAATATACAAAACTAGTAAGAGGAAAAATTTCATTTTGACTATGCAACAAAACATCCTTACTAGTCTTCAATATATATGTATATATACCTCGTAAATCTTCCTGATGACCAAGATTAGATATGAATGCTGATATTAAAGAACGGGCAGATTAGTAGCATTGTTCCTCTAATTCAGAAAAACTTTTAATTTTCTGGTGAAACCTACTATTATGTAATATTTTATTTATTTTTTTTAAATTTCGGTTGGCAATTCAGTAAAATATCGAGTAATTTGGTCTAGCTTAAAATTAAATTTGATGTCTAAAATATACAGCTCATTACACTTCAAAATTATTAAAAGTAAGCTGTTAGCTTATTTTTTTTTAAGTTAGCTTATTTTTTTAATTTTTTTTTTAAGTTAGCTTATTTTTTTTAAGTTAGTTTTTTTTTTTAAGTTAGCTTATTATTTTTTTTAAGTTAGCTTTTTTTTTAAGTTAGCTTATTTTTTTTTAATTTGTAAATATGGTATGAATGTGCTATCAGAACTCTATTATAAATGTCCTTTATTAAGGTTGATTGTAATATTTATCAATAAACAAATAATCAGTAATAAAAGTAAGCCAAAAATCCTACAAAATCAGTCATCCCAAATCTCAGCCTTAGATTAAAATTATTCATCTACAAAATTCTCCCTTCTCTTCTCTATGGCTGATTCTCATTTTAGGGGCAAGTTTTAGTCCGTTACAACTTTTACGTGATTAGCTAAATCTAACTTGATTTTTTCTCCCACTGCCATACAGTGAATAAGAATTCCTTCATAATGAAATATTAAAAATTAAAATATTGAAGAATAGTGTAATTTTATAATTACTTGGGATACTAAAATGTCATTACCATGTATTGTCCCACTCTCAGTTTTCTTGTAATCAATTTTTTTTTCTTTCGAAACCCATCTAAAATAACATTGAAATTTATTTCCACTCCTAACGAATATTTAAGGCATTTTGAATAATATATTTTTAATATCTTCAGAGTGTAGTAGCCATGTAGTTAAAGGACAGCCACTAGCGGATAGACCGACCAGTTTGGGTGCCTCCCTCTATGCATTCGTTTCTTATACCTTGAGCACGTACCTTTATTGTTGTCGTTACCACCGCGTATATTATCTCGCTACCTGTTCAAATTATTTTATTTATTATAATTCACGTTTGACTACTGTTTGTAGCAAGTCAGTTAGAAAAAAACAAAAATTATAATACCAGTAACACAGCGGTTTTGGCCGAATAAAATACGTAAAAATGTCATTACCAAGTTGAAAACTCGTTTCATTCCCACAACCGAATTATTAGCATTACTTACTTAAATTACTGAGCAAAAATAAGTTTTGGCCATTGATCTTGGCCATTTACTAAGATAAAGTTGAGTGGCAATAGAAGGTAGAGGTATTTAGAAAATTTTATTTAAATACCATCAAAATTATTAAAATTGTATCATGAAAATTGCCCATAATGTGATAATCACCCCTATCTGTGGTGCTCCGCAACTTTCCCACATTTCAAAAAACACAAGCATGAGATTTCAGCGATTCCAAAATGGGGTTTTAAAAAGAATAGAGAAAAACACTTTATTTGAAAAATGAAAATCTGAAAAAGTAACTGAATTTATAAACAGAAAAAAATATGGAATTATATGATTCTTTAACATATTCAACCAATAGTGAATTCAAGTGGATAACATTTTTGACGGCTTCTCGAAGATGGCAAGATATAAGATATATTTTAAGCTAGATAAGAAAATTATCAAGAAAGAGATGAGCCTTAACACCCTGATTAAAAGTCAGTAAATAAAGATTAGAAATAACTAAGGCTCATAAAGATTTTAAAATAAATCTAAGATACAATTTAAGGAACATCTTATAGCATATTAAGAAACAAACCATCTATAAAACTGGAGTTATGAAAAGAAAAGATTCGCCTTTTTCTACGATCATCATATTCCCTACAACCACAGCAATAGTGATAATTAGAGACCGGATCTTCGTGTAGTAAAAAAAAAGTATAGCAAACAAAAAATTGAAAATCGTGCAATAATCACCCAAAATATGTAAAATTGTGTTATTAACACCCAAGAAGTACATAAATAAATCATCTATCTTGTTTAATTTATTATATTGACATATCGAAATCTGATCAAAGCTAGTACCAAGCTACTGAATTAAAGAGGAGAAGAATATATATATATTTTTTAATTTGAACATATTTATTGAGATATATAACAGTTTGTCAAAATTAAGGATATTTATAGTACTGTTCAGCGAGCACATTCGCACACTATTTACAATAAATAATACAGAAAAATAATAATACTAAAATTATATAAACTAAACTAAACAATAAGAAACATAACTAACATATTACTACTCAAATACACACATGCTTCTATATAATATAAAAAAAAATTCATTCACTCGAGATCTCCGAGCCAAGCCTTTCCCCCCACTCGTGGAAGGAAAAGCAGGACTGGGAGATCCCAGCGCCTCGCACTCAGCCGCATTACTGGTATTAAGGACCAGTAGAGGCTGAGCAGAGGCGCTATAATCACACACATGGCTTGAGTTGAGGATCTGGCCATTGCCAAAACTCCAATATATACTTATTTACAAAAGGTCTCTGGACCACTGTTACTTCAATCTTCGTGGAGGATTCGAGAGATGGATGGGTGGAGCTAGATAGGAATTGATATTAAAATACAACATTGAAAATGGAAGTTATAATTTTTTTAGGAAACTAGAAATACACAGTAAAACTTAAGATTTTCATACATTCAAATATTAATGTTGGTGCTAAAAATTACTAGTTTCTTTCTTAAAAAAAAAATTCAGTTATTAAATAGAATTTTCCTACAGAATATTTTATCTTACCTGTTCTACAAAATGTCGGTGTATCTCCTATCACTCCCGATTTATTTTTCCACAGAGGATACAGAGAATAACTTTCAATGAAAGGCTGGATCCTACTTTCAGCATTATTAAATTTTTAACAATAATGAAATTACTACAATTCAAAACTATAACAATAAATGTCTTTTTAACAAAATAGGTTATTCTAAGAAGACTTTTTTTTTATTGTAATTCAATACTTTAGGCAAGTTCTATTCCATTAATGTTCTGCACTTGTGTTTACTTCTTCTTTTTGTAACGTTAAATTCGAACCATAGCCAATCACAGAATTATTCATTTTTCTTTCTGTATCAATCTTATAATAGTCCGAGGTACAGACACCCTTTTCATCGGGTTAATATCCGCCTAAAACTTAGAGAATGGTTCCATCTCATTCCAACGTACAACTTTGTATGATTCGTAAATAAAGGTGGCCTACAAAAATTTTGGGCCGTTTGGTGTGAGCTCCACCCCCAACATGTTAAAATAGGGAGGTTATATAGGCCAAACGTCAAAATATTTAGGCCACTATTATTTTCGATTTTGTGATAAAATTATCTCACGATTCAAATGGATAGAAAAAGGGTGTTTACGAGTTTTTAGTACCTAATTAATAATTTGCCGAATTTCAGATTGAAAACGAACTAATTCCGAGAATTTTCGTAAATACAATATCTATAGGTTACGATGAGATAGGTTACGACGAACGGCACATTTTATCTGGTCGCCTGGCCATTTATGCATTAAAGGAAACGAAATGGCTGATAAAGCAGCAAAAGAAGCTCTTATCCTTACAGACCACCATAAAGCTTTTTTGACAACATCTGAACTTGCATGACCTCTAAGAGAAACCATATTCCAAGAATGGCAAAGACGGATGAACAACAGCGCACCTATCAAATTGAAGACAATAAAGAAAGAGGTGCAACCGTGAACCAGCTCCAAACGCAGCAGTCGTAGAGAAGAAGTCGTCCTCACGCGGCTGAGGATCGGACATACTAGACTGACAAACCTCCACCTCATAACAAAAGATCTTATCCCCAGATGTCCCAGTGTGACCAGTCATTAACTATAAAACATATTTTGGAAGAGTGCCCTTTTTACACCGCAAGACTAAAAGATCTCGGATTACCCCAGAATATATCAACATCCTTAGAATATATCAACAAGGAAACAAAGAAGCAATCATTACTAAAATTATGAAGTTCCTAAACAATGAAAGTATAATAAAACATATATGACAAGTTTATAACTAATGTTCCTTTGCAGATTTGAATTTTATTTTAAAAGTTTATTTATTTATTAATTTCAATTCATTTATTGATTTTATTTGTTTATTTTTAAGTTTATTTATTTATCTTATTATATATATAAGTGTTATTATTATCTTTATTTTTATTTTTTGTACCAACCATCTAAACAGTATAAATGTAGTTTTATTTAGTAGATCGGGCAATGATGATCTTGATGTTTTGCGCCTTGACATCGAAACAAATGAACAAGAAATATGTCTCTATTTTCGTTTCACTCTGTTGTCCCTGAGAAGAAATTTTTAGTTTAAATTGTATGAAGTAGAGCTGAGAGAGGTTTAGGGGAATTGTGTTTAGCAGCCTTGGACGTTACACTATAGTGGAGTCAGGCCACACCTCCAGTCCCCACTCGAGTTATAACTAAATAGCTCCAGACGCAGCAGTCGTAGAGAAGAGGTCGTCCTCACGCGGCTGAGGATCGGACATACTAGACTGACAAACCTCCACCTCATAACAAAAGATCTTATCCCCAGATGTCAAAAGTGTGACCAGTCATTAACTATAAAACATATTTTGGAAGAGTGCCCTTTTTACACCGCAAGACTAAAAGATCTCGGAATACCCCAGACTATATCAGCATCTCTGGGAAACCAAGAAGAAATCCTTACAAAAGTTATGAAGTTCCCAGAAAATTGAAAAAATTATAAAACATATATGACAAGTTTATAACTTATAATCCTTTGCAGATTATTTATTTATTTTTATTTTAAAAGTTCATTGACTTATTAATTTCAATTCCTATTTTTTTTAGTTTATTTATTTATCTATTCTATCTTATTACCTATAAGTGTCTATTATTATCATTATTTATTTATTCTATTTATATATATTTTTTATGCTTACTTATACCATAGAAATCCA